CATATGAGCTCATTTTTCATTCCAATGCAGCTACTGTCCCTGCCTTTCTGTGATATTTCTAGAAACTTTTGAAAGCATTCTGAATATCCAATGGCTACATTCTGTTTGAGCTACATATGTTTATAGTAATGCCCCGTGTTCAAATTTATCACTGAATATACAGGCACCACGAACATCAAAGGGAGTGTTACGGTCTGGACGATCATTTGGTAAAGACTCTCCTATGGGTCACTGGCAGAGTATTATTGAATCCCTCAACACCCTCCTCTGTACACTGAAGGAGAATTTTGTAAGAAAATTAATTTTAACTTGTTAATTAGGAATTTAAGTAATTATATGATCCCCGTTCTGTTTATGCTATTGTTGCTTTTAATTTAATGACATGATGTCCACTTTTGCGATTCAGGTACCTCCTGTCCTCATCCAAAAGGTCTTTACTCAAACATTCTCATATATTAATGTACAACTCTTCAATAGGTAACTGTTTTTTACATGCATCTTTTAACATAAATATTTGCATCATTATGCTTTTTATTTTTAGATGCTTAGAAATAACTATATACAAATTTTACTATTACTAGTCTTCTTCTACGCCGTGATTGTTGCACATTCAGCAATGGGGAATATGTAAAAGCTGGATTAGCAGAATTGGAACTATGGTGCTGCCAAGCAAAGGAGGAGGTGATTGATTTGTTGGCTTTTACCATGATCTGTTAACTTTACTTGTTACATTCATTAATTTAGGTTCCGTTTGATTCCCCATGAAAAATTGGATAGAACAGTTTTAGGTAAAAGTGAGTAGTCACAATTTTTTTATGGCTATCACTATATAACATTATACACCTGAGATGCAAGGCAGGCCCTGATAAGAACTATATAAAGTTTTCAATATAAAAACTAAATTTTTGTTTCCATTTGTTAATATATCATTATACTCTGTTTTCATAATCACCAGCTGTCATTGTTGATACCATCTTTGCTTTCATCACCATTTTTTCATCCACCACTGCTGTTGCAGCCACAAACACCATACTTACAAGCAAACCACTGTCACGGCTGCCACCACCACTATCACCTTTCCCTTGCATTTTGCTAATGTTACCTCAAACCTTTGTTAACATCACTAGTATTTTTGCCAACAGTTGAATTTTGTGCTGACTAGACTTTTGTTGTTCATCTACACTTGTTATGCAATTTGATGTGTTTTACATTGATATACTAAACACATGACAGTATGTGGATTTGTGCAATGAATAGCATATGTAATACTACTCTTTGCTGCTTGCTTATGCTATTAGGTCTTGTTTTATATTGTGTAGTTGGGCCATTACAAAGTGATGTGATGCCCTATAGTTGCTAACTGTTGCTTTTGGACTGGTTTACGGATCTCCATGATGGTTCATGGCTCTGATTTCCAAGTAATTGCCTTGGATTTTGCAGTACGCTGGATCATCTTGGGATGAGCTGAAGCACATAAGACAGGCAGTCGGGTTCTTGGTAAGTGTATCTTGTTTTTTCTATATGATGCAGTTTCACATCAACGTTACTTTGTTCTAGCTATCATTTCATTATATTGATAATCTAAAGGTTTATCTACTATGAATCTTGTTCATAATTCTGAGAATTTTGCAACTGATTTTTACGATAGGATAAATATAGTCAAAGTAAAGGATGAAAGGCATCTGCTTATACTCCTGCATCATAAGTATATTAATTAAGGGAGATTTCATGATTTCATACTCAAGGAGAATTAGATTTACTGTTCGTTCTTTACTGTGAGAGAGTACATCTTTTCTCGATTCTAGAAGAATATTATGCTTGAACAAATTTATGAGACTTACTGTTTAGTTTTTAATTTTAAGATGCCCAGATTATTACAAACAAGGACAGCAATGAGACATGTTGAGAAGGCAAAGGTCAAGCCTGCTTACTGGGCAATGGCGATTTTAAACCATGGCAGTTATCCAACCTAATTAATTTATAAACTACTGCAGTGTGTTTGCTAATTTGAAGAGGCTAAAATGAGATAATCCTTTGTGGTGAAATTGTTGAGCCTCCAACTTAGGCGGTGATGAGGTGGTTGTATTCATGTTTTTTGGTATAGATCTTCATTAAGGCTTGGTAATTGCATCTTTGACAGTAAAAAAGGCTTGGTAAACTTTTTATGCTAATCTGGTCTATATGGAGGCCTGTAGCATCTGCCTTTGCGATGGTTTTATTTATAACGAATATGATGACAAGTGTCTTAATTGAACAAGAAAACATTTATTTCTATTTTCGTTCTTGAGAAACTTGACATGAAGTGATCGCATTCCATGCATGTCTTTGTTACTTTTATTTGGTTTAACTGATGCCATTTTTATATCCAGGTTATTCATCAGAAGTACAGGATTTCCTATGATGAAATTACCAATGATTTGTGCCCTGTAAGTCTTTTCATCCCAAACTCTGATAAAGTTTGTGTCTGGTGCATCGTCACGAAAGCACATCGCTGTGCTCTTACTCCTTATGAATGGGTCTTTCTTTGTTTCTGACTCCACCCCCCTTTTTTCTTTTTCCTGACACCAGATCCTGAGTGTCCAGCAGTTGTATAGAATATGTACACTTTATTGGGATGCTAATTATAATACTCGAAGTGTATCCCCAGATGTAAGATTTTTTTTTTTTTTAATACTGTCTAATTTGCAGCAGAAGATATGAATGCCTGGTTAAATTTAACACGCTTCCAATTTTCCGTCAGGTCCTTTCAAGCATGAGGGTGCTTATGGCCGAGGACTCCAATAATGCTCTTAGTGATTCATTCTTGCTGGATGATAATTCCAGGTGAGAGTGCTCGTACGTGCAATGACTTCAGGAGATGCTATAACTTTCTTGCCTTTTGAGCTTGAGAGCTACAGATTAGTGGCAACTTTACCTCTCCATTCTCTTAGATGGGGAAAATTTTATATGTAATTTAATTGGTTAAAAGTTTATTAATTTTTGTCTCTTACAGTATCCCTTTCTCCGTGGATGACCTCTCTACATCACTGCAATCGAAGGAATTCTCAGACATGAAAGCAGCAGAGGAACTTCTTGAGAATCCAGCCTTCCAATTTTTAAAAGAGTAGGCATGATAGGAAGTTTAGTAAGCTTTTTATGTTGGTTTATCTTTGGGGCAATGAAATCATGCCCCTTGGGGATCCATAGTCCTTGCTATGGTGGTTGTAAATCCTTTCATATTTTTTTCTTTTTCTATCTATTGGATTGAATCCCAACATCTCGCCCCTGCTGTAAAGTTATTTTTTCATTCTTTCGTTGGCATTCAATTGTAAAATCTTTATTAAGAGGGGCAGGGATAATTTTAGGATGAGGGAACAGCTTGCCTTCTCTATTCCTTTTTTTTATTTTATTTTTTGGGCTTTGTAATGTTATGGTCAGAAAATAGTTAAAATTTTGTTTGGGTGGGTGTGGGGAAGTTCAAGCTCACTTTCTACTCAATTTTTTGCAGTGTAAATGGGCAAAGAACAAAAATTGATACGTGGTAATGAATAGCTAGTTTCTTTATATGCTGGACTCTACCTTGTTTCAATCCTTCTGTTTTCATCCACTTTCATCTGATTCTGCTACATTGCTTACCAGAGATACTGAACGCGGGAAATATCTATGAAAGCACTTTTACTAGAATGAATGATACAAAAGTGAAGCTTTTCCTAGTTTCTACATTGCATATCCCTTTATTTCTGGATCAAATCAAAGCGTTTCTGCAATCCACGTTGTTCATGACATTGTGACCTGCAAATAAGTGTGGATTGGTGTGCTGGGATTATTTTATTGAAACTCACTTTAACAGCAAAATGGGCTATGGCTGGAGAACAGTCTATGGCTACGTCCTTGTCTTGAACTATAAATATGTTGTTGCTTATTTTTACAAATTTGGGGTGTGACATGGACTTCGGGTCGCATCTTATATGCAAGGTAAGAATTTCATGTGATAGTTGCATTATTTGTGTCATATATTAAGGTGTTGCAAATTAAACATAACCAATTGAACTTGATAAAATTAAACAAAGCTAATTAGAAACAATATTTGGTTAATTTTTATAATGTCAAGATCATTTGATTTTTTTTTTTGTCCGATTTGTTCAATTGGGTTCATTTTGAATTGAACTGAGTCTCCCTTGCCAAAAATGTATTCAATGTTCTATTGGAAGGCAATGACCCATATCCATTAGCTCTCTTGGGTCTTTCCAACATTATACAACTTTAAATTATCTAAAAATGTAGAACCTAATATATTAAAAATTGAATATAATTTTTTTTGCTAATACTTTTTTCCAATATTATTCAATACCGTTTTTCATGAGAAAACCAATACATTTTAAATCTTTTATTTAAGTGACATGTGTGAATAAATTAGTGATTGTATGAATGTCATCAATTTTTATTTTGAAAAGTAAGTGAAATTTAAAATCTAATTTATTAACAATCGTAACTTTTTTCACAAAAATATATTATTTTAGTATGACAAAATTAAATCCAAACTGAATCAATCCAACATTAAAACCAAACCAAAATGAAGTCATCTTAAATCAAATAGGTCTAGGTTGTTACCAAACGTGACATTTAATTTGTTTTGGAAGGCATCACATGCATATAGTAAATAATACTACTTTATTTCTAAGGATTGACGAAACTAATTCTTTAAAACAACTCTGAAGTAAATTAAAGTACTTCAAAAAATTTATTTTACAAAAAGATACACTTTATTTTGTTAATACTATATATATATATATATATATAGAGAGAGAGAGAGAGAGAGAGAGAGAGAGAGAAGAGAAAGGATAACATTGGAACAGAAACTTATGGACAAAAGTAAAATAAAACCTATCATAAGTTAAGGAAATTAAAACATTATTTTAAAACACACAAATAGACACGTCCCAATTTTTGGGTAATTTTAGTTATTAGACGAATTAAACTGGCATGTGAGAAAATGAGCAGCAGTAGAAGATGTAGTACTTACAACAGGAAAAAGACTTGAGTGTTAATTTGTGACAGTAACCTTGGTTGGTGGCAGCATGAAAGAAGATGAAGTAAGAGTGTCTTGTCAGCAAAACTGCGACCCTAAGAACTCCGTTATACAATACAGATGCAACCTGAGAGACCAAAGGCAACAAACAAAATCATCATGGGGACATTTGGATTTGCTTCACTAGGGTTATAGACACGGTCTGTTTTGTGTGTGTGTGTGTGTGTGAAGAAAAGTGCAGGCATATATACGAGAACTCAGCGTCTGCCTTTTTGTCCTCCGCCTTCTTTACCGCCGAGTTACTGGTTCTTGTCAACTCAAGAAACTGATGCTGCATGAAACACATTATTGGATGGAAGTCATGTGTCAGATTAAGGTTTTTCTGAGTAGATAACCAATGAAAACAAAAGATCAAAATCAACACAAAAGACTGAAACTCCGCCTAGCCCATGAGGAATTCACATGGCTGTGGCCCCAATCACACAAGCGGGTGCAACCCTAGCAAAGAAACTAGGGTTAGGGTTTGGGACCATAAGGACCCCTTAATGGACCACCATAAAAGTTCTAGCCACCTCCATTATATAATCTCACTCGTTTACACAGGAACACAAGTTCTGCGAGTACGGACACAGACACTCAGAGACTTTCAGAAAAATCAACACACGAGCGCGAGTTTTGGATAATATCAAAGGGATAAGTTACATATGGGTCGTTGATTCTTTATGGGGTCGTCATTCCACTGCCAGTAGTTGAGTTAAGGTCCTCTAATTTGCCTATGAAATCTCTCTCTCTCTCTCTCTCTCTCTCTCTCAGAGTCTCTCTATCCTGATCCTTCTTGTTGGGTCCATTTTGACCATATATAACAACATTATTATTTTTTGATTCCATGATACGATGTCTCCGCGTCGGTTACATCAGATTCAACCACTTCATAAGCAACCTTGAGTTGTTTTATCAGACCCTTTTTGTGCGTTTCTGTTAGGGACAATAACTACAGGAAGAAAAATAGTTTTGCCTACAAGTAATTTATGTTAAACTCAGTAGTTTCAGTTTTGTCTAAAAATATTTCTCTTTGGACCATTAAACGAGAGGAGGCTTCTACCTTAAAGACTACCAAATTAACAACATATATATTGCAGACGCTGTTATCAGGATGAATAGAATTAAGCCCAACTATATGCGCGCGCGCAGATGACTGTGATAGTAACTAAGAACAACATTCATTTACTTAATTGTTTGACTGGTTGAAGAATTACATATCTTCGTGTCTGGTACTAATTTTCCCCAACAAAAAAAAAAAAACAAAAAACAAAAGGAATCCATGCCAACCAAGTGTGACCCTTTTCTGAATTTTGGCAGATCTATGTAAAAATGTATTTTTCAGTAGGGCACGTTAATTAGTATGATCAAATGTGAAATTAGTTAACTAACCTTTATATATATATATATATAATATATTCAACATGCAACCAGGCCTATATTAATTACAATCCCAGTGAACGTCTAATTAATAGTGATTAAACCCTAATTTAATTGAAAGATGTTGGGAGCCAGGGCAGTCACTTTCATAGTATTCCTTGTCAGAGTACAGAGCGATGTAACAAGTTTGTCTTACTTGCGACATTAATATATATGATGATGAAGAGAAATAAGTCCAAGCATGTCATTTTCAATACCACATGGTTCCAAAAACGCATTTTAAGGACTTCCCCAAAAGAGATAGATCCAATTTTTTTTTTTTTTACCAGCAATAGATCCAATATATGTACCATGTGCACTTATATATTTTAACATTTACAGACGCAGGACTATTTGTGGTTAGGGGTTGAGCAAGTTAGTGAATACAGAGAAATTAATAATCACTCTGGTGGGGCCTTTTTCCATCTAGTTTTTGGACAGTGTTTTTTCATATTCATGATTGGAGCTTACTGTTTTCTTTTCTTCAATTAATTATTGGATTATTGGTGGATTCATACGGATCCCAATATCATTTTAAAAATTGCGAATAATGATTGTGAAGGGGTCCATCACAGTTTCTGTGTATATATGATGTATAATTATTATTGTTCTAAAAGTAAATATAATAATATAGTCGTTCGCAGAAAAAATATAATAATATATATGGTCTTTTCAGATATTAATGCAACGGCTATGTTGTTATGTTTTTCCTCGATAATATATAGAATATCATAACTGAATACGCTGCATCTGATCTCAAGATAGGTATAAAACTAAACATTAGAAAGGGACGAATAAGAACTGAAAGTGAAAAAAATTAAATTATTGCAGCCCACTGTCATCTCTATGGAAAGCTAAAAAATTTTCCCTTGCACAGTTATTGATATCCAATACAATCAGATCAAATTTGATTATTCTTGTTTCCAATTGAAGGTAACTTCTCATTTTTTTTTACTCATCACATGGTTCCAATTCTCAAATCTTGACCTTATTTTTTTTTTTAAAAAAAAAAAGTAGGCTTCTTCCACCCGAGCAAACCACTATCGATAATAAAGAGTTTTTTCAGTAATATCAAGAAATGTGAAAGCATGCAAACATGGTGTTGTTGGATTATAAATATTATAACAATCTACCATTTGAATTGCATTAATTAAATAATATTAAGCCACCAACAAAATTTAAAAAATAAAACTTAAAAAATCATCGAATCCTATGCAAAAAATAAGTGTTATATAGATAGGAATGTAGTGTTTTATAATCTAATTAGTTAATTATTAATTTTAACTCTCTCAAATTCTCTTAACTCAGTCAATTAAAAAATATGAAAAATAAACTGTAGTTAAAGGATTATTAGTTTGGGTCTTTGCTTGTTCTTGAAACAATCGAGATCTTTACTTGTGCTTATATTCTTTCTAGATCAATATGGATTTATAGGTATGCTCATTGAATTTTACTTTGATTATTTTGATTAATTATTGGGATATTTTCAACAAGTACAACATAATTATAGGTGGCAAAATCATACACTGCACATATATATCTTCCCAACGTCCTTACCTACTTCAATATATAGCAATTATTGACACTAAACACAAACCCCTGGATTATGCTTCGGCAATTCTTAAATTTTAACTTCACGATGGAATAGGTAGCTTGATCGTATTAATTAATTGCTAATATTATTTATATATATATATATATATATGCAAGTTGGTCAATAGCAGAGTATATCAGTGAACTTGGGAGTTAGAAGTATCTCTGCTGCATGCACATGTAAGTTCGGTATATGAAATTCATAATTACAACTGCCAAACGAATTTTATTAGTTTCCTTTATAATAATTGAAAGTTAATGTTCATGATTGTAATTTAATCAAAAGGTTCCATGTGGTCTCATGTGTTTCTTCACAGTCCACATCTCAGTGTGTGATATCTTCTGGTCAAAAAAGGTTTCACATGATGTAATAATCAATTAAAATTCATAATCAATCATCTTTTCCATTTTTTGCTTATCATATTCTAGATGCTTCTCTTTCAATTTGATGGCCATGTTCTAAACATATTTTATACATACGTAATTCCCTCTACCCATGTTAAGATCTGCAGAATAAATTTCTAAGTAATAATATTGTTGGCAAAGTCGTTTATTGTCCAAAAAAAATTATGAGTTCGTTAGTGCCCTTTCTTTTCTTTTATAGGCAGGTAGTGAATGCTTTGCGACCCTTAATTAACAGGAGAGAAATTAATTAATTAATAGTATATATAAACGGTAGACTCTAAAGACGAACTCTTGGTCAAACCTGGTGATGATGCCTTGACAATTGAACTCTGATACTGAACATTGATGACGAAAGATTTAATTTGCGCTGATCTCATAATACGTCGGAAAATAGGATTATTAGAACACGCATGGTTTGGTACAGTAGTACTTACAAATAACTCCTTTATTTTGTGAATAGATATCCTTATATACATGTTATATTTATTTAATTAAATCACTGAACATCTATATATAATAACGGTGAATTTATTCAATTTTTTTAATCTCACGTCACATATAGTACATAAAAATAATGTCGGCGGTAACAAATCAAAAGAAAATTGCATTCAGGTCCCATAAAATAAAATTTATTATTGAAAAGTTTTATAAATTTTATAAAATACTCTCAAATTTTAAAACCCTATACATTGACAATTTGATTAAAGGTATTAACAATTAAGCAACGATCGTTTACAACTTGTAAAGGAACATGACAACTCATAATAACAAATTATAAATGGCCGTTACTCAATTATCAATGTCCTTAATTAAATTGTCAATGAACAGGATTTGAAACTTGAAAATATTTTATTAAATTTATGAGACTTTTTATTAATAAACTTTCTTTTGTAGGACCTGAATGTAATTTTTTTAAAAATCAACATCAATAGAACATTCCAAAATAAAATCTCGGATCACTATTTAATTACTATTTATTCATGTGAGCACTCTTTTTAATGGGTTGCTATATATTTGCTAGTATTTCATTCGAAAGGGTCTTTCGAAATTGAGTAACCCTGCTGGAGCATGGATGAACAGAGATTTCTCTTCTGAATTCAAATGTCAATGATAAAATGTTAATTTTCAATACTATAAAAATTTCATTTTACATACCATCAAAGTTTACGACAATGTTTTATTCTAAGTTCCAAAAAATAAATCCAAGAAGATAAATAGGGTAAGGGATTTTTTTTAGGAACTAACTATTGTTGCCTTCAGAATATTATGAGGTCCTTGTTGCGATGGACTTTTTTCCCTGAGAAGTTGACTTTCTGCCGTTGTCTTGACTTCCGATCCAATCAATAGAGAACGATCACATGGATTCGTTGAAAACCACATATAATTAATTAATATTACAAAGGTACCTGCAAAAAGCATGTGGACCTTTTTTTTTGGGGGGGGGGGCCCTAAATGTGGCCTTTTGGATAGATGCTTGTGCATATTGTTGAAGTAAAACTTCTATTATTAATCAGGTAGATCTTGTGCTATGTTAATTAAAGCGTTGTTATTTCTTTTTATTAAAAAACTTAATTGAATAAATATAGGGTCTATGCCGGTAAAAGAAAATTGTAATATCGGTCTATATAATACTTCATTTGCGTGGTAATTATGCAGTGCGTAGTGGGTAATAGAAAAGTCTTAACTATCTTGTACACGTACGTAATTTATTAAAAAAATTGGGGAAAATACACGTGGCAATTAGCTTAAATTTTATGCAAAGTGATAGTGATATTTATAAATTTGATATTATTTTATTAACTGTTGAATTTTTTATTTAAAGGTTTTTACTCAAAGAGGTAAATAATACGACATTTTAAATAAAGTACTTAAAAGTTGATTTTCCCTTTCACAACATATAATATACAACGTGAAGGATAGAAAAGTTGTATCAGGAATTCATCTTTTTAAGGTTATTCTTAGATTCTTCTTTCTTTCTTTCTTTGGTTTTTTTTTTTGGGTTATATCCTTCATTCGTGGAAAGAAACTCACTCACACATAGCATTGCGGTCAAACTTACAATTTTACACGTTAAGAAGACATTTGAAGAAAATGCTCATAGTCATTGTGATTTGTGAAAGACTCTAAGTGTATGTTTGGTTTACATCCTAATCTCTGTTAGAGTGAGTCAAACTAAGGTTAGGGAGTAAAAAAGTTAAAAAATGATGTTTGGATTA